CTTCTTTCCCGTCGCCTGCCTCCCTCCCTCCTGGAAACACCGCCCCGAACGCACCGTTCCGGCAGCGCTGGGGGCCGCCCGGGGAGGGGACACCCCCGCCGCGCCGGCTGCTCTGTCCGTGTCGTGCACCCCCAGATTATTCTGATACTTCTCCGCAGTCCATCCCCCAATAAATTTATTCTGAGACTCTTCTCCGCAGTTTTGAAGCAAAGGTTTGTCTCTGTGATGGCCCCTACATAGGCCTGCTGCTCGGAGAACCCCGTCAGTCACTGCGGCCTTGAGGTGAGAATACCTCCTCCAGGCTTCGCAGCGATGGCGGGTGGTGTGTCAGGAGGTTATCTACGAGTCCTTCATCATCCAGTCGTTTTTGATAATCACACAGATTAGGGAATGATCACCCACGAGGACACTGCTTAAAAATGTCAGCCTTTACTATGAGAAAACGGGTAATGTGAACCATTAAAATGCCAATTTGAAATAATTTAGATGCTGGCCGGCACATTTTGGAGTGGGTTTACCTGCTACAAGAACATCTGTGTTTGCTCTGATGGAGAAGGAAAAGCTGTGTCAGTTACAGCGTGGAGAAGGCCACAAAGATGGCAGCTTGTCACAAGCAAACAGTATCCATTTGAGAAAAATGGATCCATGTGCCCTTTCCTGATCTATCTGCAGTAGCTGCACTTTAATGTAAAACTCTTTGACTTCAGTGATTTCCTCCTGTTGTTCGTTAGGTCAGATTTTCATCTCATACTGAGATAAGGGACCTAATGAGCAAGCATACAGTTATGCAATATGCTATAAATATGTCATTATTATCTGTTAATTGAGTAAGTAAATGATGTATTTCCTGGAAACAATCCTAAAAAGCTGGTTAAAACTAGCTTTGCAGTTTGGGCCACATCCTGAAACCCACTGAGGCTGCGCAGAAGATAAAGGTAAAAAGTTCAACAGTGAGGAAGAGGAGCTACTTCATCCCTGCGATCCCAGCCCACGACCACTGAAACACGCTGCGCAGGTGCAACTAGGGGGAGACCGGGGCGGAACATATGAAAATGATTTTCAGGTTCATTGTAATATGAAGCGGGGATAGATCATGTGTATGTATAGGTGTATCTTGAATATGCAATGCTTTGTAGTATAAATCTAAGACAAGGTGCCGTGAGAGGTGTGCATGTTTGTGGTGGAGCGATGCCCCGTGCACCCAGTGCTGAATAAACATACCTACTTTAAAACCTCATAGGTTTTGGAGTCTGTTCTCTGCAAGTCAATACTGTGTCACCTTTCTGGGGCTCACTCGTCTCTGGCATGCATGCTGCAGATGGCAGATACTCATTTTATGCCTGCAGTAAAACATAGATTTTTTTTTTTTTTTTACTCAACTGCATTTGTAGGTTTGCTACTTTTTCATGTTTTGGTGACTAAGATCTTGAGGAAAGCAGAATCCTTGCTCATCTTTTCATTAGATGACATAATGAGGAGACTAATCCTTTTGATAGTGATTTCTTTAGGTCCAACAGTTCTATCTAGTAAACATTATCGTGTTCAGCTTCCCTAAAGACAACTTCAAGTGTCCAAAATAACTTCCGTGGCAGAAGAGAGGATGCACTCAAGCTTTTGTACCATCAGCTCTCTGAAGCCTGTGGGTTATGAGTGTTACCACGCCACTCATTGTATTTGTTGGTTTAAAATCTCTTTGAAATTAGTACTGTTAACAGCATATTGATTTGTAAGGTTTTGGGGGGGGTTATGCACAAAAAAAAGATTTCAAGTGAGATTTTGATGCTGTTTAAAAACTGCTGAGTGGTGGAGCCCACAATTTGCTCCTAAGTGGCATGTTTCCCTCTTAGACCAAGTATAATTGTAACTCACCAGAGCTCAGTGGCTTCTATTCAGTGTGAGATGTCACAGCAGCAAACTGCAGGAACTGAGAGAGAACAAGATAAATGTAAATATAGAATCATAGAATGGCTTGAGTTGGAAGGGACCTCCAAAGATCATCTAGTCCAAATCCCCTTCAATAAGCAGGGACATCTTCAACTAGATCAGGTTGCTCAGAATCCTGTGCAGCCTGACCTTGAATGTGTCCAGGGAGGGGCCATCTACCACCTCTGTGGGCAACCTGTTCCAGTGTTTCACCACCTTCATCGTAAAAAATGTCTTCCATATATCTAGCCTGAGTCTACCCCCTTTTAGTTTAAATATCTCAGTAGAGAACTGAGTTTGAAACATTATGAAATGCAGAACAAAAAAATAAAATAAAATATAAAAACTAGGAGTTGGTGCTAGCCTCTAAGGTAAAAGTCTTGGCTGGGGAAGAAAAAAAACATGCACAGGAAGTGTGGGGGTTGGAAGAAACGCTCTTGTTGGGGATGGGTGACGGTTAAGAGCAGCCATAGTCACAGAGAGCTGGTCTGAAGGGTGGAGAAGACCTCACAGGATCTGCAGGATCTTGGAGACCCAGGGAAAGTTCTGTGAAGGTGAGGAAACAGGCACAGAAATACACATAAAGTATGTTATTACTTTGTTATTATCTGTCTAGTTCTTACATTGTCAAAGCAGAGTACATCATCTCAGGTTGCTCTGTAATGTCTGTGTGTTATGTGCTGCTTTCTCCTATTCTCCTGAGAAGTTAGCTCATCTGAGTGAGCTATTTTGGGGGCTGGAGCTCTGATAAATGGTTGCTTGAGCTGTGCTTGGAGGCTACAGTAGTGCTGCTGCAGTGGCTTTGCTCAGGTGGGCTCCAGTCCCATTTCTGCAATGGGGAGCTGCTCTGACACCACAGCTCTTAAAGTAGCTGGTCATTCAAAGAAAGCGCCCTTATGGATAGACTCCAAAGTTTTGCTCCCTCACTGGGACTGATGTAGGCGTGTGGTCAGCTAGAGAGGGCTGACACATGGTGCTATGAATAGCAAGATTTTTGTGAACTGGTGGTTGTGGCTTAAAAATTATTTTAGGTGTGAACAGGGGAAAAATTGAATTTTAAGTAGTTTCAAATAATACAGAAGTTTCTCTTTTAAATTCAAAACTAGTAACAAACAAAACTAATGGTTAAGTGGTGTTGATATACTTACTACTTTGCTAATAGTATTTATAACAGTTGTGAAGGTATGGAGAGTCAGTTAAAACAAAATGCTTTGCAAATTTGCACTCTAGTATCTTAAATCTTGAGAGGAAGGGGAGGGTGCCACAGTCATATTAAAACTTTCTGACGTTGTGAAAGTTTCTGTATTTTTATCTACATTGAGAACCTTCTTTCTTTCTTTTGTTCTAAAAATACTTGTAGGTACTGTATGCTGGTGCTAGCACATAGCTTTCTTCTGCTGTTTTTAACTTACTGTTTCTGAGTCAGTTTGATGCTTGCATGTGTAAACCTCATCCAGTTAAAGTGGTATGTTCACTTTGAGTTTGTACATGTACAATTTTCTTTGAAATTGGAAATGAGTCCTTGTTTCTGGCTTGAGTATTGTAACTGAAGTGACGCCTCTGAAACAGGGACGTGTATTGAGGTGGGAGACGTTCCCCAAAATGCCCCAGGAGCAGGTGTCAATCTTTCTGGGACAGTTTCAGAAATAGCCTTTAACTCAGCTGTTGTGTCCAGATAAGTGGAAAATGAGAGTGACCTGCTACCCTCATTTTGAAGCTTTTTCTTTTGATCCCTGCAGCCCCAAACCCACATGAAATCCTGTTTCCAACCCTGTGTATAAATACTGCAGACCTGCCAGGGTGCAACCCTTGGTAATCCCCACTTTACAAAGGCAG